CATCCATGTTATGCGGTGTTTTGCAGATTCTACATTATTCTTTAGCGTTGCATAGTATTCCATTGTGTGTATGTACCATAGTTTGGTTATCCATCTTTATTTTCTTTTCAGCAATCTCTTTGCTGGTATAGAGAAATCCACCTGATTTTTGGATGCCGATCTTATGTTCTGCCACAATGCTAAATCTCTCAATTAGTTCGAGTGTTTTTTTTTACTGAGTGCCTTGGGTTTTCTGTGTATAAGATCATATGAACAGCAAATAGGGATAGTTTGACTTCTTCCTTACCAATTTGTATGCCTTTGATTTCCCTTTCTTGCCTTATTGCCCTGGCTGGGACTTCCAATGCAATGTTGAAAAGAAGTGATGATAGGGGCACCTTGTCTGGTACCTGTCTGTAAGTGGAATGGTTTCAGTCTCTCTCCGTTGAGAATAATGTTGCCTGTTGCTTTTGTATATATGCCTTTTATTATGTTGAGGAATTTTCCTTCTGTTCCTATTTTTCAAGAGTTTTGATCAGGAATGGGGGTTGGATTTTATCAAATGTCTTTTCTGCATTGATTGATATGACCATGTTCTTCATTTTCTTTTTATGATGGATGACATTTATTGTTTTCTAATGTTGAATCATCCTTGCATACCTGGTATGAACACCACTTAGTCGTAGTGTATTATTATTTTTTGATACGTTGTTGGACTCAGTTGGCTAGGATGCATTGTGAAAACAAAGCACTTTCTCCAAAAAATTCCTAAAGATGCTGGATAGTTTCTTTTTCTTTCTTTTTTTTTTTTTTAAATATTGTGGTTTGGGTGAAAATTGACAGCACAAATACACCTTCCATACAGCAGTTCACATACACTTTGTCTCATGACATTGACCACAATTTTATAGCACAATGCAACATCTCCCCTCTCATTGCCTCCTGATAGTTACCTCTTCCCTGTGTCCATCCCTCCATGCACTCCTACCCCCTGAACTGTCTCCCTGTGCCTGAGCAGCCCTTCTTTCTCTCATGCTTATTTTTTCCAAGGAATGTATCTACCTCAGTAAATGCTCAACTGATATGCCTGTCTGTTGTTTGGCTGGAAGCCACAGGTGTGAGTTAATTCCAGACCTGAAGCACAGCTAGGGGCTGTAGTCTCAGTGGTTCCACTAGGCTCCCTCGGGCCAGCAAACATGTTCCCCGCTTTTTTTTTCCCCAAATGATTTTGAGTTTTGTTCCACATTGTTCTCCCTGTCTATCCAGGATCTTCTACAAAGATTCTCTTCCAAGTGGTTGACAGTAGTAGCCAAGCACCATCTATTTCTTCTGGTCTCATAGTCGTATAGGCTGCAGATTGGATGGTGTACCAGTCTCTAGGACTAGTTGTTTCCATGACTTTTTGGTTTTATTCATTCTTCTTGGCTCTGGACGAGGAGAGACCCATCGTTGCATCTAGATGGCAGCTTGCTAGCTTTTAAGATCTCAGTCGCTACTTGCCACGGTAGGAAGTGGAACAATGTTTTGTGTAGTATGTTATGCCAATTGAGCTTGATGTCCTCTTCGACTATGGTCCTGAGCCCACAGGTTCAACTGCTCGGTCCCTCTGGGTAGCGGCTGTGACCAAGCAGTGACTACAACCTTGCCCCTTGTCAGCTCTACTATACACCTGGAAATTCAGATCATATAAATAAACTTACAGGACCATTGTCTGCCAACCCTATACATGTTCTTGGGTATACTCCCCGCTTCATAGACATACCTACTAGTTCAGCCTGTCCACCCATTTATCCACCCGTATACCCATGTTTGCCTTCACTGACCACGCTGTACTATATGCGCAAAAGGGTTCATCTTTGTTGTCTGTACTTCCCACGTACCTCTCTATGTCTTTCTCTTCCTCAATGCCACTATATTGATCACTCACATTCGGTACATTGCCCTTTCTTCACCCAAATCAAAACTTACCTGTATCTATCTAATAGTATTCCCTCCCCTCCCCTCCCACCCCTGGTAACCAACAAAGAAAATGGTCTTCCATAGATAAATGTTTCCTTGACGATTACAGTAATGGACTAATACCATATTTGTCCTTTTTTGAT